CTGGGCAACCTGGCAGTACTCAGCCCACAAGCCAATCATGGAACATTTTTCTTTTTATAAAGATTATTGTACCATGGTTTGTTTGGCACACAGTCTGTCCTCAGACAAGTGTGAAATATATATATATATATATATATATATATATATGCTTCTATAATTTGGATGACTTTGTAGCTCAGCTGGTAGAGCGTGCGCTGTCCAAAAGCGGCGTCCATGTGTGTTCGAATCCCACTGAGGCTGTTGAACTTTTGACAATCTTGACATGGAATGGCTTACCCAAGTTTTTCGCCGATTGTTTCAATAGCGAGGCCTCACCGACCTCCGTTTTCTTGTATCAGTTGAAGCGGTCGTTGACTAGTCTCTGATACAGCTGTTAACTCCATTTTCCCAACTATCTTGGCTACCAGTTTTCACGGTCATTCTCGAAGCTCTTCGGGAACGAACTTTGCAGATACCATCTACCCCTGTTTTGATCTTGGCTGTTAGTTGTTTTTCTCCATCAGGGCTACTGGTGTTATAATTCCAGAAGGCGAGGATATTGGTTTATTGAGAATAAAAGATGGAAAATCAGTAATTTGGCATACATAACATAGAAAGTCTCATCAAAAGCATACCATCGCAGTTCCCATCCACACGACGGGTAGCGAATGTAGCAATCAATAGTTATTTTTTGAGACCCGGAAAATTGCCCTCGGTGATCATGTTGATTTTTGATCGTTGAAATAAATCAATATTCACAAGTGAGTAGTATCCCACAACGCTGACTCATGAGATAACAATGAATCGGACAGGCCTGAGGCGTAAGTCCCTAAGCAATGTTCTTTAATTGCTCATCTAATCTGATTGCGTCGTTCATCTGCACCACCACGCAACAGTTCAGTTCAACTTATACAACCATTAACCATGCATCTTCGTGCGCCGGCTTTGGTTTCTGTCTTTTGGCTATCCATTTGGATGAACAGTAGGAGAAAGACAGAAACGTTGAAAGTAGAGGCGAACAAAAAATGAAGAATTTCGGTGTTTTAAGGTTGCAAAGAAATTGAGATTCACGAACGCCACTTAGCCATATCACTCAGTGTCTCTAATCATCGGTTACCTGAGCATTGCTCGTCTCAAGTTGACAAATGCTAACTGAGCTTTCTTTTTATCCGAGCTGATGCCTCCACCGGGTGAGATATAGCTGCCCAGATAGCAAAATTTGTCTATTTTCTCTAATACTTCCCCAGTCTGGGTGAGGGGGCTTGACCAAACCAGTACTGTAGCAACATTTTACAAAACGCATACCGAACATGGCTAGGTTGGCACTCAAGGTATCCAGAAAGGCTTGCTACTTACACGGCAGTGAGCTTAGACCAGGTCCTAGTGAACCGCATCAGAACTTAAGTGTGGACAGACTCAGCGCAGGCGGTGATCTTGACGCGGCCATGTTCGATTGGAGAGAACAGATTCTTGTAACAACCAAAGGTATACACCAGAAGTTTATATTATCTTTTCATACGTCTAAATCCAAATTTTGATGGTAATTAACTAAAATGTATCAGTTCATGCTTTATTTACTCTTAACACGCTGAAATTCACTATATATCAGTTCATTTGGACTTTATTTGAAGCGCCCATACTTTCAGCGTACGCTAGACAAAATCGTTTATGAGAAACTTCCACTAGAGGCCTTCATATACGTAGACAAATCCAGTGTGTGGTCGTGACCCTGAAGAATTTGGTGATTACGTTCGACTTTGAACTATTAGTCCGTGGTAATGCGGTTTAACAATAGTGAGGTCTTCGTTTTCCATTGTAGCCGATGTACTTAGACTGATAGGCTGAGACCACAGGTCTTGTTAAGCTTTTTCTCCCTTCCCTGATCGTCGATCAATGCTTACAGCTAATCAAGATCACATAATGCCTTTTCAGTTTTTTCTCCTCTGGTGCTTTGGTTAGCGGTTCGTTTTGCGGAATTGTACCTTAGCCTAATGAACCCAACGAAGTAGTCGGAACGTGAAAGGAGCAACACACTTGGTTGGGGACTACCCAACCTTATTGGACGGCTACTTCTCAATGAGCTGAAAAGACTCCTATCGTCGAGAAGTACCCGCACGCACGCTGTTCATTCTAACGGTGAACAATGTAGCATAATCACAACAGGTGTTCAGGAACAGACCAAATATTGCACCGGATTGCCCCAAATGTAATACATATGCACGGTCAGACTCTCTCCTAGTTTGCACGTGAGTCTTCACAGTGTGTGTAACAACCCTGATACCACTTATCCCGTTTTCTAGGTCTGAGTGGTATTCATTGTAGTATTCGGTCATCAATTCGCACGTGGTTGCCATTGTCTCTCGTTTGTTAGATCAGAACATATTAAGTGCCAACATCAGTATACCTTGAAACCAGAAACATGGTTGTTCTAGTACAGTTTGAGCTCGAGCAGATGCGATCATGTCTCGTTCTGTACCTGCGAATGTCAGTATCTTCAATTTTCTGTCCTTCCTTCCTTAATTTCACTTGGTGTTCTTTAAAAAACTTCTTCCCTCTTTAGTCCTATTCTCACCCTTGCCGATGACACTACCCTACACTCTTGTTTTATTCGTCTTTATGCACTGTTAACTCCAGCATCAGCGATGACCACTTCCATCTCCGTATCTCCCCGAATTTCGGTCTTGGTCACATTCTTGCTTGGGACTGTCGCGATTATGTTCTCTTTAATGCCGGCAAAACCTCTGATATCCATTTATCTTAAACTTGAACCCTTCTCTCCTGCATTAAATTTAGACTCAAACGTTCTCTGTATCACGGATTCTTGTAACCCAAAAGGATTATTCTCATCTCTTTTATATCCACCGTTTGTTTATTTGTTTACCTCTCGCGATGCACGCAAAATCGGCTTTTTCTTCCGCGCCAGACGTTTCTTCAACTCCATTCTCTCGCTTTATAAAGCTCACATTCGTATAGATATGCAGTCACGTCTGGAGGTGGAACTTCGTCCACTCCTGTTTCTTTTTGATAGGGTTCAACGTGAGACCATTTGTCCCTTACATCTAACCTGCAACCACTAGCTCACCGTCGAGAAGTTGCTCTCTTATCCCGATGCTATTTTTCTTCCTATTCAACGGAACGCGTTTTCCGTCCGTCCCTCCCCCCCCCCCCCCTTTTTTTATTCTCTTTGTAGATTCCGTACACAATCGGACAGTCATGTGTTCCAAGTTACTCTTCCCAGGTGTCCTAGTGCTGACTTTCAATCATCTTTCTCCCCAAGAACAATGCAACTGTGAAACACCCCCTTTTTGATCCTTCTTCCGAGTTCAACTTCCTTATCTTTAAAAGTACAATCAACAATCTGGTTCAGGCTTGAATGTCTCCTTCACTCCCCCGTGTGCAATAAGTCTCGGATTATGGGGTTTACTCTTTTAACTGTGTTCAGTTTTGTGTAGTAAAAAAGAGCTGAACTGTAGTTATCTGTTTAGGGTATCGTGTTTGGATTGATCTATTCAATTTTCTACAGGCACTGTTGGTGGTCTCGAGGGTGTCGGTTTCACTATTTGGGAGGTGATTTATTCTCTACGGCGAAAAGTCTCATCCCTTCGATCTGAGGTCAGGAGTAAGACAAGCATGCTCGCTATCTCTAGTATTGTTCAACTTCCCCGATGATTGGATTCTGCGTCGGGCGATGGAAGGTCATCAAGGCGTCCAAGTTTCCGCGGATTGCTGAATTACTAACCTCGAATCCGCCGATGACGTGATAGTGCTTGGAGAGAACCTGACCGCCTTGCATCAGCTCTCAACCGTATCAAAAGATTTACCACTGAAATTGGCCTTGAGATTAATTCTAACAAAACCGAGATGTTCGCTACTCCGCCTGATCAAGCGGAACATCCCTTGCAACTGGATGGTCGGACAATAGAACTTGGGTCCACCATCGTGCCCAATGGACAAGCCAAAGATGATGTAAAGCGGCGCGTCGACACGGCCCGAACGGCGTTTCTGCCGTTGTCACACCGTCTATCTGTCTTGTGGGTCAGGCTTAGACCGACCGAAGGCTCCGGTTGTGAATTTCCCTGATTGATCCGGGTATTACCCCGCCCATGCATATGCGTTCGTTTGACAGTTGGCTGTTTTATTTAACGTTTTTTCAGATAGTCACTGAAAATGACCAGCAACGTGCACATACAATACCTGCCCGCTGTAAAAATGATCCTGCATGCTGCTAAACATCCAGAAACAGCTGTTAACGGAGTGGTTTTATGTCAACAACAGGATGGGTTGCGTATCGTCGTCACCGATTACATTCCATATTTTCATTCTCCTCTCACTTTGGCACCGATGCTAGAAGTCGCACTACATCAGGTGAGCTAGTAAAGTCAGATCATAATGTTCGTCCTCACACTAGACTGAAGCGTATTGCAGTACGAAGAATCTGAGAATCTGCGGCTACTTTCAAGCGAATGAGCACTCACACGATAATGTGTAAGTTGTTTCCCTGTATCTACGCTCGTGATTAGACCTACAGTGTTTGCGTGCAAAATTGCGGATAAAATTCACGATAAATCCGGGCCGGCTTGTTTGGTCATGGTAAGCGTATGGTTATTCTTTAGCAATCCCCTATCAGCTGCGCAATGATCGGCTTTATCCACCGAGGAATGACTGTTTTGCAGTGTACACTTTGAATCAAGATAAGTGGTCTGAGGCGAAGTGAGTTTGCTGCAAACAAGTGACAAACAAATTGCAGGTACACGATGGATCCCGAAGTTGTGTCCGGTCTGGCAGATTTACTCAAAGGTGATCTATCGAGGGAAATATGCGATTTTGATGATCACCTAAACGACGTTAAATTAGACTATTTCAACGTAAAATTGTCCAGCCATATTGCTGTGAGCACCTGTGATTAATTTTTTTAAAATAAAGCTGTATCTTTGTATCGTTTTTCATGGTTATGGGATATGTCCCGTGGTTCTTTTCTGTTTTATTTGTACTTCCTTTTTATTGAATGCATAATGATACAATTTTCAGGAAGGAGGAAGCGGCCAATCAAAGGGTTGCCATGCAACACAATGTGACAAGTCAGGCAGTAGTCCTGGGATTCGAACACATCCTCCGGGGTGGTAATCTGGTGATGTTGTTTATATTTTCACACACGTCCGAGTTCAGACTGTATACCAAACAAATGACAGTACAGTCATCCTTATAAAAAGAAAATTGTTCCATGATTTACTCGTGGATCTGGTTCCAACCAGATTGCCCAGATCCCAATGCAGGTAGAAATTCTTGGGAGTTCACTACCGGAGCCTGACCCAGGAAGCCATTATGGGCTGCTGTCCAGTTCATGGGACCATACACCCTTTGGACGGGGTCTACTATCCAGGGTGCCCAATACACCTCTATATGCAACTGGATCAGTGGCCACTACTAGAAAAAGATGTGTGGATAGTTCGTACACTCCTTCTGGGTTGTTTAGGGATCAGGGTTTGTAGCCAACTCGCCTACTCGTCCCGTAGTTCGGTGAGGAACCACCCGCCACGAGAGGGCAGTGAGTAGGGCTTTCTCAGCAGAGGCTTAGTCGTATGGACGCATTTTGCGAGGTGGAAGCGGTGACCAACCACAACCCAAGACACTCATCTCCGACCGTACTGAAGCGTTCGGAGGCGTGACATAAGGATCGGTATTGAGACTAAATTTCGGATCTGACAGAACTTTGTACGTTCCACTTTCGTATACGGACGCAAGACGCGACCGCTGCGCGTCAAAGATCTATTCTCAGAGTTCACTGGCAAAACAAAATCTCTCACGATGTCACGGCATTCCTCGGAGCGGCCGTTACCAAGATCGCATCTGGTGATTTGAACACTTGCTGAACCGAACAGAAGATAAGCTGTTGAATCTGGCTTTGTAGATGGCACAAAGCTAGACAGTGGAAAGCCTGGATTACAACAGTCAAATTTGACACGGAAAACCTAGGATTCCAAAATACCTACGAAATCCACTATTGGCGCAAAAAGTAGTTAGCTCTGTGGCTGAAACTAGACTAGAATTGTAGTTACGGAAAAGATGTTAACGAAGCTCACTCGTCCTCTTGCAGGAGAAAGCCATACCAAAGTAACAGACAGCACAAGCCTATAGAATGCTTATTTCGTCTTTAAAATTTACTTCCACTTGTGACACTGAACCACATTAGATATCTAAGAGCCTCTGAGTGTAAGTGGAAAAGAATGCTTTGTACAGATTTCTACTGAGTATCAACCATATGCAATGAAATGGTGTATACAGATTTGTAGTGTTACTCATTCCAATAGGAAACTAAGATATGCTCAGTTTGTCCAGTGCTGCATAGACATCGCGTTCCCGACGAGCCGAAACCTGGTTCCGATAGCGATGCCGTTGGGTTGCCATTTTCAAATTTCCCGGGTTATTCCAGTAGAACGGGACAGGGTTCCCACGAATGAGAGGTACACGACCACCGAGCATAAGGACATCCAGATCGCGTTCTCCAGAACCGATCAATTCCGCAGATGGTGAGGAAACCGCTTCATTCTCACCCACGGCAACTAGGTCGTCCAGGAACGACTCATATTGTTCCGGCTTCGGTTTGCGTTTCCGCTGTCGTTCCGGGTGCGAAATAGCGAGAATTGGTAAGGGCTCCTCCTCTTTAGTGACAGTACTCTGTGCTGTCGCGTCGTTCTCCGCCGTAATGGACTGTGGTTGGAGTGTGTTGGGATCGATCGCGCGTTTCGGATCTGGTGAGGCAAGCACTCGCGGAATGAGGTCGCGATCGGCGGAAAATTCAACCACATGCAGTCCGAGGTCGTTAGATAATTCAGCGTAGGATTTCTGTTGGGCAAAAACGGGTGAGAGAGAGTAAAGCACCACAGACAATGAATGGTACATCTTAAGCTTCTCGTAGAAATTAAAATGAATCAAATTGGGACATGCATTAGCTAATTGAATCACATCAAATGGAGATAAACTCGCATGGTTTCAACGATCAAAACGTCAACCAAACGATGACTTATCCCATATCTCTGATTGTACAACTAACTATTCGTTCTGTGCGTGAGTGATACAAAGATTAATTACTGATAAACAACGCGGTCCAAGTGCTACGTGTACGTTCTCTCCTTCGTTACTTGTGTTCGCAATTAAATCCGACGACAGGCAAATTGCTCCGCAATGTTGTCAAAAGGAGTCCGAGAACTTCCGCAAGAAAAAGGTGATTAGGACCCCAAATGTATTGTTGCCCTCAGTGAGGGTTGTCTGAAAAGAGTACCACCGACTCTGGAAAACTATCGTTTTCATCGATCCAACTTCTACTTGGGGGTTTCAAGAAGCTGATGGATGTACTACTACTAATGGCCACATATACACAAACCACTTGGCAGACTGGCCGAAATCAGAATGGGGATAACCGAGGCCCGAAAGCCTCGGCGTTATGCATGCCACGCCTTAGTGATCGAACAAGGTTTGCTCTCTGATACAACAACCAAGGTTATCTGTCAAACCAGCACGTTAGTATGTATTGTAAGTAAATTTTGCAAGCACTGAAGCTTAAATTTCAGTTAAAAATAATCTATGTATGCCAACCGTCACACGGAACAAACAGCATTGGGACATTTCATAGTTCAAAGTAGAGACGAAGTTCACCTAAGTAAATGTCCAAGGTGGGATATAGATGAATTTCGGTAGATATTTGTTACAAACGGTATTTGTCGGAATTCGGAGCGTGTGCAGGGATGAGAACGACAACTTGTCATTTCTGTATAGAGTAGGTGGTAGAGTCTGCGAGAGTCCTCTGTGCATAGTTGACACAAAAGGTTTTGTGCTAATTCGAAAGTTTCACAATTAACTTGTTCACACAAATAGAAGAAACGCGGAAAACAACAGACCGCAATATAAGATTTGTAAATCTTGTTCGAGTAAATCAGGGAAAAAACTAGAGAACTATAAAGTAAGGGGAAAGTACACTGATAAACGAAAGTAGAAATGACATGGAAGCGTAAAACTGCCTGGGTTTTCGAATTTTAAATGATAGGCGCCGTAGTTTACCAATGCAATTGTGGATGTGGGTTGATCCACAACGATTGTTATCTACAGCTACAATAGATTTGGCAGAGTTCATCCAAGGTACAGAATCATTACTCATCCCTGTGGGGTCTGTCGGGAGTCCAATTCAAACCACTAGCGAACGTGAGCCTTGCATCAGTGAGTCGACCGCTGAAGTCCTTTGAGGGATAAACCTCACAAAATAATTGACGCGTTGGACGCATTCCCCAGAACAGCTTACCTGGCGTAGCACACCAGTACCATCAGTCTACACTCACAGAGCCTAGTCCTCGCGCCAGATAATCCCTTCCCACACACACACAGGAACATGGGAATACATCAGGAAACAAGTGATCAGGCACTAAAGAGAAGCAAATTACGACGATATAACCCTTCCTAAACCTTTTGGGGCATGGCGGTAGAATCGAGCACGCTGTTCGGTTGTATTTGGATCCACGAGGAAGTCTCTTCAATCCGAGTAGTTTTAATATAAGAAGCCTCCGCCGGAAATATCTTCCAAGCATAGCGGTATTAGTTGAATGCGGATTATACCTGAGCTCGTGATGTCTATCATTCTTCGCTGATTCCCCTGCTCTTGAACAGCAAGCCGAATTACACGCTTACTGCAGTTGTCGATTGACTCTTCGCTCTCTGCATGCTGTTTGAACCACTCAATGTCTAGCGCAGAAGAGCCATTGCTACCTACCTAGACATCCGCAGAGCCTTTCACACTGTTGATAAAACAGCGATATGGAAGTACTTGAATGGTGGCGTGCCGGAAAAGTACGTGAACATTTTGGGATCCCTGTATTTTCCTACACTCTATGGGTTCGCCTGTGCCCGCAAATTAGTTTACAGCAGTATTTGTCAAAACTGAATACAATTTCGCCGTTTCTCTTCGATTTTGCGATCGACAATGTCTTGAAGTTGGCTGTCAGGTATTTTTGATTGTGGCGCTGAACTTCTTTCGAGTGACAAAATGTCGGGTGTAGACTATGCTGAGCCCAACCCGGCGATGACACACAGGTAGCCTAAACAACCTCGAAGCGGTTACCAACCAAGCACATCGTTATGCGATGTGTTTTTCGTTTGCCCGATTTGAAGTACTTGACCAGAACCGGCGCATGTGCTTTCCACCAGTGGGGAACACATAGAATTTGCCGGGTAGGTACACCCATCTTAGGGGTTATGCCTCATCTGGCGGCAGTGTTCACGGTGGGCTCACGCCGAATAGATGGCGTTGTCATGATATCTCACTGGCTCTCAATGAGCGCGTGTAATGCACAAGAATTCGCGCACGGCTGTATGTTAGATTCACTCTGTAGATATTTGCAAACTATCGGTTTTCGATTACCAATACCTTTGGAATATTCCCCGAGAGAAACAGTACGACAACAGACATTCGAACGACATAACAGTCTCATAATAGGTGGTATTCGGTTCCCCGCGGGTCACGTTCCAGAAATTACTACTAAACATCTAATATGCAACGGCTCTTCCTTCTCTTGTGATCATCAGCTCGATAGCCTGTTCATCTCTGCTGTTGATACAACACAACAATCCTTCACTCCACTGGGAGATGCCGTGAAAATCCAACAATCGCTTCTTTGTGCGTGCACACACTATTCACAAATGTGAGTAGCACGCCACAAGACTACCATGGTCATTTTATCAAGTGCTTACCAAATGGAAGGTAAATCAGCAGAAGATGAAACCAGTTTACCTTTGAATTTTAAAAACATTATTCGAGAATGTATTTAACAATTTGCAGGTTCTCTGCAAACCCTAGTCGGAAGTGGTAAGCTCCTTCAGTTTTAAAGCCTTGATGCATGCAATCATTCTGTGGACCATCATTTTGCTAACCGGGAAGTTATTGTGTGCGAAAAAGTCCATCAAGGAGACTGCAGTTCTTTTTACTGACCCGGTTGACCATTGTCGAAGGTTCTCAATTAGGTTAAGATAACTATAATAAGGTTATTTGTGCCTCTCTATGAGTTCATACGCGTGCATGGCAGCGTCACAGGGTGGAAAATAATGATGCACGATCAACTTTCTTTGTTATATACGCTCATTGCCTGTCGCTTATCGCTCAGGGTTATCCGGGAAACATAGTCCAAGTCATAGGTTACTGTTTGTATTCTTGCCGCTTACGAACTAGGATTTCGTCCTTTCTGGTGTTATGCCAATAGTGATCAACTTATCCAAGTCACCGAGGTTCAACCTTGCCTCGTCACTAACTGTCATCATCTAAAATCACGCAAGTGATTTACATTTTTTTCAGGCAAAATATTTCATTATTGCTTTCCAACTTTTGCCCCTGTATGAAGCATAAGCAAACATGTAGTTTGCGAATGAATCGGTCTATCGATAAAAGATGAAATCAGGTGCATGCGAACGGTTCACCACTTGTCATTTTTGTTTACCTGTTCGCCCAGGAGTCGAAGAAATCCCCGGGTTATCGCCTGATAGTTTCTTGTGCTTCCTTCAACTTTGGCANGTCCTTGATGCCAATAATCTGGCACAGGGTACGAATTAGTCGGTGACAGCAAAGGCCGAAACCTGTAGGTGGTGGATAGTGCAAGACGTTTCGCGATAGGCATAAACCAAAATAAAATTATGACGGAAACAAACTACATAAAAGCAGAAGAAATCATTGCTGTGAAAGCTGTTCAATTGTGCAATGCTACTCTGGGTGGTTTAATGTCAGCCAAAAGTTCCATTTCTGAA